ATGTTTATACATGGAGTCATTTGTAAGAGGATTTGGAGACAGGAAGCTCAAAATGTGCTTTGAGATAACTGCTTCCCACAGCAATAGCAACATCAAACAGGAAATGGAGGAGGAAGTACATGTTTCTAGAAGAACCAGCTGCCATGTGGGTTGAAAGACAGAAGCTGTTTTTACGCCACAGTGGCTATGGCAGCTAGTCCATTTGGGTTATTGCAGATGTCAGGTGCATGGATTCTGTGCTTGAGTTACTTACAAAAGTCTCCAGTGGAAATACATACTTTCAAAAATCACATTGACTGACTGCTGTTCAACATGGCAGATACAGTTTTAGGAGTCTTAGGAAGATATGACCTGTTCAGTCATCCAGTTGTGTTCTTAATCCTTTCCATTCCATATGTGAGGTATATGAGTTCACCACCAAAGCGCAATAAATAGTTAGCAATAAATAGAAAATGTGACATTTCTGATAAGTGATCTTGATCCATTGTAAAAAAAAAAAAAATTAACCTTTTAAGCATTCATTCGGACATCTACATAATCCATGTAGGGACTCAATTTAGATTTTTGATTAGTGTACTTCAGCTAACCACAGCAATATTTCTATGTAAGAAAGTCTGCACATGATCTTTGCCTCATGGGAAAATGATCAGCAATGACACCAAAGCTAGATTTAATGTAAAATCTGTCTTATCTATTTAGTAGTAGAGTTCAATTTCTGTTTATCAACTAGGAAATATAACAGTTATGCAAAAAGTGACCATATGGTGAGTATTGCATTGATAGCTAAACTGAAGTCATATAACATGACTTTAAGTGGTGTGAAACTACAACAAAAGGATATTGCTAATTTAACCAACCTCCCATGGCACTATCTTTCTGTGGTAGTGGGACTGCATGCTCCTGGGAGAGAAAAGGATATTCTGACAGCAGCAGTGCTGCGGGTAGGGTCTCCCATGTTAGAGAGGCTTTTGCTGAGGAGCCAGACATTACTGCACATGGCTTTTAAACCGTGATTATACCAGGATTGCCGTAATAGCAATAACAATAGT